CTCCCTCTGCCATCCAACGAAGTGTATCATAACCGTAAGATTTTATGATTCGCCACGCCCACTTCAATCCTTGTGTCGATTCGCCATTAGTCTAATCCTTTTACTTCAACGTTCACAAACTAGAACCTCAGTAGTCAATCTCCTACAACAGAGTATCAAAGTGATTTTTACGGATCGTACAATAACTTCGCAGAAAAGCAAGCAATTGGCTACCGATGAATAGCAGTATCCACCTCACGACATGGATCGATCCCTCGTAAACTGGATGATACCTAGGGTACAATAATGAAGCTAGACCGAATTAGGATATAAAAGCGTTTAAGTGTAGAGATATCCACTGCACAACTTCGTGTCAGATACCTGCTGTAACGAACAAAAGTCTTACTTGCGCTCAATATCATGTGCGATATTCGATGTGAAAAAGGGCACCCTATGCTTGTACTGGCACGGTGCAACGCTACCTACACTGAATCAGTCAAGGTCAGTGTCTCAACTCCGTACATTCACTGTACATGCAGAGGAAGGATAAATTCATGAATGAAAAAAAACAAAGTGAAGAATACAGCGACAAAATCTATGATTTTTTACAATCATAATTGCATTTTATCTGACCTTAACTTGTTCAATCTACAAAAGTCATATTGGGTACCGTTCACCACTCATTAGGCGCGTCTATCTGCGCTTGATAATCAATTTGGTCGATACAATGGCCTTTATGAACGGCTAAGTGACGCGGTGCCAAACTTATCTACGATAGCACTATTCCCTCATTATTTACTAAGCAATATGGAGAATATTAATTATATAAGTTAAACCGCATATATAGTGTGATGATAGTGTCATGTAACAGGCTCACCCCGTTGCATTGAGCTGATGAACAACTATATGCAAAATCGCTTACCAATTAACGATGATGACTATTTACGTGATACGAATTTTTCGAAGGTTGTGCACCAAAATGGGCCAAAACTGTGTGGAAATAAGGCAAGAAAAAATCAAAAATGTACAATAATGTAAAATAGTGAATAGGAATATTTACAGATGCTCCGGATGCCTACGAAAACAGAAAACAAGACAAGGTAACGAAAGTTTGGCATAACGTGAAAGGAGACACCACACGATGTATTAATGAAACAAAACACGAGTTTTTGAAGCAAAGTAAAATTGTGCTGCGACAGGTATACTATAGACTAAACGTGCGCAAGATCCGTCACTAACACTAATGCATAATATAATCCTCTCTTCATTTAGTCAAGAATTTGGACTCTTATCTCTTCACCGGCAATTGACATTTGACATTCACGAAAATATGTTATCGATGTGATAAATATATTAGTTTCTGTCTAGCTAAAATGTCAGGTTGCTTCAATTTATACTGTCGTATCGATTTATGTAACCTGAAAGTGTAGCTATGTGCAGCTGTCGTCTTGGTGTGGTGGAGTGGTCATAGCTCGTTTCGCGAGACGATCTGACTCTCCAGTGGCGCCCGGAAGACTTATGGAGGTGTAACCCCGATTCCGTGCTCTGTGTATTCTTGCTCACCTTGTGTACCCGTCGGTGGGGCGGGTTGCGCTCTTCTTGACGGACTTGAGCTTAAGCTGAACTTGACCGTCTTAGGGATAGGTGTTGATCGGGTGGAAACTCTACACCCGGTCAAACGTAGGTGCGATTCGCGTGGAAACGCTTCACTCGATCGCAAGTACACTCGGGCGCTCTCCCAGAGTCGCCTTTGCTAGGGGTAATCCTTGATCCGCGAGCCTTCTGACCGCTTGAGCCGTCTCGTGATCTTGAATCTGAACCGTCAGGTTCCCTGCGTCCGATCGCAGTTGAAAAAAAGAGGGAGAACTGATGTTCCGCCTGACCAAACAATCCAAGGGCGAAGTTTGAAGAGACGTGGGTGACGCTCGACCAAATGGTAGGCCGAATTTACTGACCGGGAGAGGTCGAAGCGTGTCTTTCGTTGTAAATTTGATTCTGTTTAATGCCAACCAACCAAATCTAAACCCTATTACTATGCATATCTGTTCGCTATATTACTGTTGCATATCGCCTGTCTATTTATTATCTTCGTGCATCATATGGTCCACAGCAGATGCTCGAGTGGCGGATCGGTCCGTAGTGGATCGCTCTGTAGCGGATCGCTCGAGTAGTGGATCGCGGTATGTGGTCCGCAATCATGATTCGTTCATACAATCAAGATTTACACACCCATAATAGATCGTGGTGAATTTCTCGAGTCTCTGATTGGGCATCCACCGTCGGATCGCTGTCATTTATGAGACCTCGCATGTTTTATGACTTTGACGATCCACTCCTCCATCCGGCTTCCATATTCACCCATTATCCATTGTCCTTATCGACCACGTATTTCAAATGATGTTCACCTCTCGAATTATCCGGTACCTGTAGCTTGGTGATCCAAGCCCTTGATAGCGATCGTGATTGGTCAATCGTCGATCCTTGACTTTACTCCTTTTTGACCTTTAGGTAGATCAATCCGCATAACTTCAACAGTCGTTTTCGTTCACTCAGTCGTTTAGACACATTCCTCGTGCCAACGGGCCCATCTTCGAGCGCGCTCCACCTATCAAATTCAATTCGCACTTAATACATTTCGCACGATTTACCTTTCCATCATTCTTTCTCTGTGCTTCTCCGCATTAGCGGTACCCTCTTCTTGTTATGAAGAGATAGAGCCCTATTGAATTACTACGTACACAATAATGTGAGTTTATAGAGGTATGAAATCGATGGAACATGTAAACACGACAGATAAACAACATGAAGAGATGGCAAGCTGTGGGAGACCTGACGGAATGGTGTTAGTTGTATTGCTGGTGGTCAGGGGGTAGTTTGCGTACAAAGAAGGTAAATATCATACTAACAAGCGCGAGACGCTTGGTGAGTGTAATAGTCATCACGACTAAGGTTGCTCATGGTGGTAGTGATGCTTGTTTTAATACAAATTTTGTAGTATAGGTAGATTGTTAGAAATGCATGGTTTCTACCTACAATTGGAAACATCATGCAAACAAGTGTGGCCACTCGACCCTTTGGCCTCATTTCAACATGACACAATATTGTTTTTTTAATCAGTTACAAGTAGAATAATGACGATCTAGCTGCGATCAGACCACCCCGTTTGAGGTGCTAGTGTCATCGACTCCATATATCGTGTGGCAAGGGCATTGACAAACCGAGCTCCTTACTGGACAAACTCAATCATGAACGGACAAAATTTGTTTATGTATAAAATAATCATATTAGTACACTATTGCCGAATGATAGACGTTCTACATGAATGTAACATATATACCCCAAAATTATTCTTATGTCGATTTAAGCTAGGTGATCTGTCGATTCGGTAATATTCGGTCGTGATGTATTTATCGGAGGCGCTATTTCGTTGCAAATATTGTTTCTAAGCTATAAAATAAATTGCGAGGGCAGGCGTTATCAATCATTTTTACGATCGAACGTTACTTTATTCTACGAAACAGTCTAATTGTATCATCTCAATGTTGGGGCCAATTCTTATAATATAAATGCACCACAAGAGAGAAAACATACATTGACCGATCGGTAACGTCATAACAGTGAGATCGAAGAAACGACAAGAAAATACAAGTTGCACCGGATCATTTAATGATATAGAAAAGGGGCGCAAAATGATTCAAAGGTAGATAAGAGCCTCTGATTCACACTCAATGGCTGATATACACACGTCTAAACTTTGATTGTATGCAGAACCTCGAGCATTCTTCATACTCTATCTCTCTTCAACTAAATTGCGTTTATATGCCGTTGACACTGGCCATGTTCAAGGACCCGTAAGGTGCGTGGACGCTTTGACTGTAATTGGAATGTGTTATTTATCGTTAGATTGTCAGACCATGTTGGATATGATTCAATCATCCAGACTTTGTGGTAAGACATTGTAGTCCTGTGCAATTATCGGCCTGACGGTACCGCGACATATGCGTGGGACGGCAGAGCGCAGTGTCAAGGTGCTGCACAATGAAAGTTAAAAACGGATAGGACACGGCTGAACGCAGCATTAGGCGATTTACAAATAATGATAGCAAGATATGACAATATACATGAGAGCTGACACAACCTGATTGGTTCTGTCAAAAAAATGTCGCGCGAGTGTTCGCAAAAACCGAAGGTGGAAGGCAACTAAAAGAACGTGCAAACCTGATGGCGTGTGATAGTCATCAAAAACATATGAAGCTCCTAATGATATATGGGTAATGATTCAGATACGTACACCTGTGGACTGAGGATTCTGGTGATATTCGCAAGCTGTGGAGGACATTACCCACACAAGCGTAGGTACGTCGGACCTATCGGTAAGCATCGAACATGTGGCACAATATGCAGATACTTTATATAACATTGTAGTAGTGGTTGCTCTATCTCCGCTTACACAAGATAATCGCGCTCGCGTCTTCGAGTTTATACACGATGTGTCAATGGGTTTCTGTCATCAACAATGCTTGTGGTGTAAAGGTAGGTGATGGTTCAATCCATAAAGGCGAAACACCACCACCAATTTACTGGGGATTTTGTCATTTTTAGATTGCGACAAGATCATATAAATGGAATGAGGCAGTCGATACATTTCTGAAGGTCTCTAGCATGCGTCTATTGATGGGTGCATTGTTTACATTAATGGTGTATAATGCATCTTGTAATATTATTGTTTACAATTGTTTCCGTCTTGTAATACATTATATTCTTGTATTGTTTGGATGATTTTTTTCTCATCGAAAGGAGCTTTATTTAATCTTCATGATTATCTGGCTTTTGCGGCTTTTCTGAGCTAATTATTGGTGGTTGGCGCTGCGTGACTGAAGTTTGGTCATTTCGAGATCCCTCCTTCAGAATCGACAACAACACCGCTAACGACGAGCATGTGCCCCTATTCGTTACTGCTCTTCGTTTCCACTACAGTTCTGATACATCTCACATGTACATGGGGTGCTTCCGGGTCCTCGATGTCGAAGGTCAACGTCACCACTGACTTCGCTCTCTTCAATGACGACAGCAACGAGGTTCCTGTCAACTTAATGTCGAAGGCAAAGGAATCTGGGGAAGAGGAAGAAAGGGTGCTAAAGGAGATCTCGAGCGAGCGAATAAAAACGTTTCTGGAGGCCCTCTACGAATACCGCAACGGGCACATGATCGCCCCAGCTAGTTGGAGTCGAGTGATCAGCGAGGATGAGGGACTGTTACAGCACGTGTACGCGCTGCACTCTGCGGAGTACGAGCAGAAGAGTGCAGCGATGCCAGAAAATTTAAACGTGGATGTACCAATCTTCGGAGAATATATATCAAGTGCTAAAAAGCTGGTCGAAAACTCCAGAATGACGGAGCTGTCGCGGACCCTAGCCGGTACGGAAACAGGACGTTTTATCGAAGGCTTGAGGTCAATTGGTTACTTCAGCGAATTTAGTATCGGCCGCGTGCGGGCGCTGACAAAGTTTCTCGATGGATTGAACGCGCAAACGGGTTCGGAGTACAACGTGTTCGAGATACTTTCGCAAGGCGTTGGCGGCCTCGACAAAGTCGCATTCTTTTTGTCGTCTTCGAAATTGAGTCCTCTTACTAGTAAGGATGCAACAGCGATTCAAAAGGACTTGCTCATGTGGTTGCGAGACGTTAAAGGAAAGTCCTTTGATGATGTTGCAGTCTTGCTGGGGTTCGCAACGCTGCCGGTGAATAGCTTGACCTTCGAAAACATGGATACTTTGATCGCATACGTTGCACTGCGCGACAACCTGAAGTACGATCGGGCCCGCTCGGTAGCGCTTTTTCATCTAAGACAAATGTTGGGCGATTTCATAGTCACTGATTCAATTTTGAACGGGATGGAAGAGGTTCAGTCTGCCAAGTCGTTTCTAAGAGGAGTTCATGACACAGGCGTTGCATCGGCGGGCAAGGAGGACAACGCATTCGCCATAAAGCTTCAGCATGATTTGTGGACTCAATGGTTCGAGCATGGCCTCATTTTGAAGGACCCGGACCAGGACCTTCGTTACGTACCACGTGAGCTCAAAGAGCGCGTTGTCACTGCATTCAATGCGTATATTCAAGCTGCAAACAAGGCGTACTGGAAGAATCATTTGACGTTGAGACCCCCGGGCACTTGACCATCGGTGACTTACATCCATGGGAAGCGACGCAGGTAGAGCGCAGCTATCAGTTGCGGCTAGATTAAGTCTTGTTGCAGTTTTTACAGAGCGTTGCTGCACCCCGCATCGTACCGCGGTAAATTTTTCGGTAGCAGCCCATTAAGAATAATTTGTGATTAAGAACATGGTGCCGTTGAATTTAGGCTGCAACAGCCCTCGTTTGGAAGTCTTGTGACGATGCTTTTGGGCCTTTCATATTCCGATTGCATCGTCCTGTCTACTCAATGTTGTTGATAGCCGGTTGAATGTTGGCGCTGTCCCTGTCGCTTCTCTAGATGACACTGGTACACTGGCTGAGCCCTACTTGATGGTGAAAGCCTCGGCAAGCTCCTTAGTATTTCTCATCCATATTTCTGGATAAAATCGACAAATTACGAAGCGATGAAAGCCGCCTCGTCAGCTACTTGGTTGCTTTACATCCCTTGACCATTCAGCCATGTCACCAAAGAAACATGTGACTACTCTGCTAGAAGATCACCACGATATTTTGACCAAGTAAGCCCCACGAAAGAAGCACAGACTTGTGTTAGTGTGACCGGTGCGGACGCGACTGCATTTTGGAGTCTGTCCATCCAGAATAGACTTGCTGAGTACACAGGGCACTTTGTTCCTGTGGCGCCGACGTTATCATTGATGTTCCACTTCCCTGCAGAGGCACGCGTTGTGGACCCAAAACTCAAGACAGTGACGCGCTCGTGCCGTTAAGACGATGCAGGAAACATGACGTTTCATATTGTTCGAGAAATGATGAGTTGGTCCGAGAAAAGAGGCAATGTCAGCGCCGACCCGAGTTGATCGTGTCAAGAAATCCGACAGCTCCAGAAGTATGCTGTAACGGGGCACACCCTTGCGTGTACTTAACGCAAGGGTCTTGGGTGCCCCGACAGACGTACACGAGGCGAACGAGGAAGCGTAGGGTAGGGTAAAAGTAGAACTGTTATATAAATATAATTAAGTCTTTTAACTACTGTCTCTTTGTTTGACTGAACTTAATTAAGTTAATATAACTGAGTGTATAATGACGTCTCGTCACCACTCATTGCGCGCGTCCTGCGGCGATTGGTGGGTTGATATCGTCAAGATATCAACCCATGAACAGACTTTTTGGTCGACCGTTCAATATCACCACTTCGGTGATATTGTTCAAAGAATATTCAACTTCATATTCTTTGTTGTCACTTTCTTTTAAAGTGACAATTCCATGTAACGGGCTGCCCCGTTACATCACCCCCCTTAACTGATAGTCACCGCGTGACTATCGAAAATTATGGCGGCCACCCGTTGGTCGCCATTAAGACGGGAAGCACTTGTTGGGTCCGTTCCATTCACTTTCCGCTCGACCTCGCATAGTTAACATGTCTGTGCGGGGTGATTCAAGGCACACAGAGTCTGTACCTGTGCCAGCCTCTGCGGCAGACGATTCGTCGTCTGCTGCTCGTTCTTCGCCTGCAGCAAGAGGTGCTGCAGGTGCACGCGGTATAGCGCCGCGTGCGCATGATGACCCCGAGATTGAGGTCATCTACTCTGGCGAGTCAGACGTATCTGACTCAAGCAATGCTGCAGAGGCGTCTCGCTCACCGGCGACGCCTCAGTGTTTGCCAAGGCGACTGCCGAACGAACGGACTCGTGAGTTGCAACACAGTCTGTTCGGCAGTGATGACGAATCTGATGATGAGTATGTTTGCTCATCACCGAAGTCAGCTCGTGCTCCTTCGCACGAGCGACCTGACGATGGTGCAACCCATCGTCATACTGAAAACCGTGGTACCAACAAAGGGACCACCGTGAAGCGAGATGAGCTGAAGCCGTGGCGTTTGCCCGAATGGCTCATCAATGGCTTGTCTCACGAGACAAGCCAACACCACCGAAGACCCTTAACGATGCGACTGAGCTTCACGGCTTGACTCCCAGCGCGAGCAACTTTCGCGCTGAAGAAGATTTTTATCTCGATGTCTTTCTTAGACATCGATGGTACAACAGCAACCAAAAGCGTGACAAAGCCTCTCTTTTGGCTGTGTGGAATGCGTTCGTCCAACACGTAAAGAATTTTGGACGAGAAGGGTGGCTCAAGAAACTTGAGGCGACACGCCTCAGGTTTGAAAAGCGAACGCCAACCGGTGTTAGGTACCGGTTGCACTGTTTGTCGAGTGAGGCAGGCATTCCTTGCCTCACATGGGGAGACCCTTGTGCGAGTTGTGTTGACAACTCGCAACGTGTGCATATGGATGTTTATTCCCTCGATTCTCCCTGGGGAAGGGCACACATCTCGGAGGAGATGCGTGACGCGATTGCAAACTTGCAATCCGTCTACAAGCGCCTAGGGCGCGTGTTTACCGATGGGCCACAGGGCCAATCGGATGAACTCGTCATACTGGCGGACGAGACCTTCAACATCCATCAACAGCTGAGAGCGGGGCTCCCAGCTGTTCCAAGAGGGTGGATACCCCCGCCACTGGACGAGGTAGCTCGTCCTTGATCCTGAATCGTCACGGTGATTCAAGATACGCTCCAATAGGAAGCGTTGACCACCGTGAGAATCCACCAAAGGATGTGGTGGAGGAGGAAAGACCTCCTCCAGAACCCCAGGCCCAACATCTCGACCCTTACGAGATGGATCGCGCAATCGATGAATTGCGCGATGACTTGAAGCACGAGCGCGACCGGCACTACTCTTTGACTGGTACCGTGCGGAAATACCGCAATGATCGCGAGGCTGATCAGGCGAGAGACCCCCCCCCCCCCCGATTACGCCACAGCGCAGCTTCAGGGCGAGCGGGATGTCCGCTCCTTATTCGGCGAGTTGGCGACAGCTCGCGGGGAGATCTCGGTTGAGTTCCGAGGTGTCATATCTGCGCGACCAGACGGATCGTCTGGAGCGAGAACGCAATAACTTAATGGATGTTTTGGAACGTGCAGGCTATCTTCATAGGAAGAAGAAGGCTCGTACTGACAGTGCGGCCTGAGTCGGCCCACGTAAAACGTAGGATGCGTGCGCATCTTACGTGGCAATTCGAGTGTATATGCATTGCCCTTGCGATGCAACACTCGAAATGGCTCAAAGTACTTCGGCAGTAGTTAATTCTGCCGACACTAGTGACTGCATGTCCAGGTAAATTTACCGTAGACAGTAGTACTAGGTCGTTAACTTTAAATGAAAGAACATTTGCCCTTCCATTCTTGTCTGCTTTCCGTTTCTGGCGATCCACCGCATTTGCGATGGAGTCCTGAACGAAACGGACTACCGCTTCTCGAGTCAGCAGGAAGTTCTCTGCTGACTTTGTTTTGTCTTTCAGTGCGCTTCGTGCGCACTGCTAAGAGATTGTTCTCTTCTTCAGCGAGGTTGTCTTCTGCCTCGCTGGCATAACCGTTGACGATGCTGAATATACCGGCATCGTCATCATCATCCGATTCAATAATAGCGTCGCCGCTATTATTGAGGTGATCTTCTTCATCTATGTCGACCTGATCGACATCGGCATCATACGTGACGACGTTAGCGTCGACACGTGATGAGCAAGAGCCAAAACGATTTTTGCTCGAGCGAGTCCCTCCCCCCTTATTCAAGAGTCACACTCTAGAAGGGTGGGCACACGTGGATGGCGTAGGCCATTCACGTAAAACGGTTTGTGCTGTGCTGAAGCATGCACCGAATTATTGATGTCGAATTCCACCATGGGTAGGAATTCGCTCCAACTCGGGAACGAGTGGACGTATCCTCGAAGGATTTCTTCGAGGACACGGTTCGCACGTTCCGTCTGACCATCTGTTTCGGGATGGTCAAAAGTGGACATCTTCAATCGTGTTCCCAATGTGCGTAACACGGGTTGCCAAAATGCCGCCGTAAATCGAGGGTCACGGTCGGATACGAGTTCACGGGGTAACTTGTGGAGTCTAAAGACCGTGTCTAGAAAGACACGAGCATAAACTTGAGCCTTGATCGACTCAGGGACAGCAGCAAGATGCACCATCTTGCTGAACCGGTCAACAAACAAAAGAATACCATTATTCTTGTGAGCGTCTTCGGGTTTCCCGAAGACGAAGTCCATTGAAACGTACTGCCAGCACTCTGTCGGAACAGGCAGAGGCTGCAATGGCGCACGGGATGAAGTACTACGCTTCACCCGTTGACAAACCTCGCAAGTACGTATGTACTTGCGGACAAACTGATACTGGCGTGGCCAGTAGAAGTCACGACTTACCTTGAGGTACGTCTTTTCTCTACCACAATGGTCACATATTGGGGCATCGTGACACTCATACATGATGCGTAAACGCAAATGATGATGAGCGGATACGATGACACGCCTCGTGTCGTCGGCAACAGCTGTATAGTACATCAATCCGTTGCATGTACTATACCGATCCGATGCGGATCGGTACAAAGCTGGTAAATCCCTCATGGATTTACTGGATGGATTCACAAGATGATCCATCAATCGCAGAAGATCATTATTTTCCGCGTATGGTTTTCGTACGTCGTCAAGTAAGCTTGACGACAGACCACTGACTGACAGTGTCGCAACAGTGGGCTTATCCTCGCCGTTGATTTGTGCGTCTGGCTCGAAATCGGGCCGGCGCGAAAGCGCATCAGTGACGACATTGAGTCGTCCTGGTTTATACTCCACGGAGAAGTTATACTCCGCGAAGAAAGACAGCTACCTCGCCATCCTTTCCGAGAGGTGTGGGCTGGTTACGGCCGTGCGTAATGACGCATGGTCCGTATAGACAACAAACGGTCTATCTCCCAGGAGATAGACGCGAAACTTAGCCAGTGCATATTTCATGGCAAGGAGTTCCTTGTCATGCACTGGTTAATTGCGCTCAGCTTCTTGCAGCTGACGCGACTGATAACAGATGACGCGCTCTGCGCCATCTGCATCGAACTGCATTAACGCACAGCCGATTGCAAAATTGCTGGCGTCACAGACCACATGAAATGGTCTGTCCTGATCTGCAAT